CTAAGCAACTTTAGCAAGATCCTTTCTCAAAATAAAAAAGACCAGGATGTAGCTCAGTGGTTAAGCACTCCTAGGTCAATCCCTGATTTAAAAAAAAAAAAAGAAAGTATTTAACTCATATTTGGAATCACTGAAATAACACAAAATTAGAATTGATTAGAAGAGACATACACAAGTCTGGCTTAGGAAAGCTGGAAGGAGAAGAAGATCCCAGCAGAGCCTGCTGAGAACCATCCTGGACATGGGACCTCATAGGTGACTGTGGTCACAGGTGCTTGTGAGCCTGACATCTGCCAGATTCTCCTTCCTGCCAGGCATCTCTCCTTCCCACAGCACTGCCAAGCCAGTCCATAGTAAACAGATTTATCCAAGTATCTTTAAAGCTCAGAGCTGGAATGCTCTTGGAGAAGGAGTATGCCTGAGGCTCAGGGTGGGAATGGTCACCACCACACCCCACTTCACAGGGTTTATGCAGAGGGTGGCAGCAATTGTGGGTGAGGGCAAGAAGTAGGAGGCCAACAGTGAGGAGGTTGTGATGGTGAGAAACCTTCCAGGGAGGCAGCAGGAGTAGGACTGTGTGTGAGCCCAGGCTCCAAGTCTTCAGGACATGCTCCACTATTGCATAGGACTCCACAAAACAGATTTAAAGATAAAACTATTAAGAATTTCAAGATGGTGAGCTGGATTTGTAGCTGAGTGGTTGAGTGCTTGCCCACATATGCTAGAACGTGTACTTATTCAAACTGTACTGATAACACACTCAGGAAGCCAATGGTTGGTCGCAGTGGTACTTGGCTGCAGTATTTGACAGATCCTTTTATCCCCAGAGGATACCTAAGTACAGAAAGTGCTCCAGTGGAGAGGGTGGAAGAAGCTCACGTGTTCTCTTTTACTCCTTGGGAACAAGCCTTTAGCTGTGCCCCTTGCTTTTCACCTTTTGCTCACTGTTGAGTGATCTGCTCATAGTTGATTGGCCTATGATCTTTTCTGAAAACATACTGGAGTGTAAGTTCATAAATACAGTCAATTTCAACACTGAAATTCAGTCAATTTCAACAGTTTCCCAAGTTGCTTACCTAGCCCAGGGCTGCCCTACAGGGAGTCCGGCTATGATACTGGCCAAGCTTAGTTTGTCCCTGAAAGACTGGGAGGTGGGCATAGGGGAAGAAGAGATCTAACTCTCTGGGTAGCTGCTACCTGTAAAGCAATATGGAGGCCATCATTCTCGATATATTTACTAAGTTGGAGGAATGCAGACTGTTGACAATGAGCTTTTTCTTTGTAATAGCCCTAAGTTGTGCCTGGGGTAGGGTAGGGTGTTTTACTTGGACTGAAGGGTTTGCCTTGAGCATTATCTGGATTGTATTGCAGAGAGTTATGCTCCCTGGTTCCATTGTTCAAGTGTAGTCATGTTTCATCAAATGCCTTTCTGAGATTTTTCAACTTTGGACTTCTTTCCACATCTTGCACTTGAAGAAACCTCAGAGCAGCCTCATTGGTAACTGTCAACACAGCAGCTGGAGTCTGGAGGAAATATACCATCTCACTAATAAGTTGTGGACACCCAGTAGCACATGGTGCCCTTCCCTCTGGATGCAGCGGGATATAATCATGTTCATTAAAACTGTTCAACTCAGCCCTCCCCAATCTAACTGGCAAAGGTGCTGAAATCTGAGCAAAGACAGATTAAAGGGCCAAAGGAGGCAGGTAGCTTGGGTTTTAGTACTAGAAAGCAAAGCACAATAGCCTACCTGGCCCAGTGGAGCAGCTCCCTGACAGTAGTAAGGGACCAACCCTGGCAGGATGGAGCCCCACCCTGTGACCCTGTGATTCATAGGTTGTGGTCTGTCCCACTATGCTAGCACTTGTTGAGACTCAGGCCTTAAAGTAGTAGTTCTGTGTGTGCTTAAATGTCTCATCAACAATGAAGGCTGTCATCAACTCGGCAAGACCCCATCTCTAAATAAAATATTAAAAAAAGGCTGGGGATGTGGCTCAGTGGTTAAGTGCCCCTGAGTGGTTCAGTCCCCAGTACCAAAAAAAAAAAAAAAAAAAGAACGAAGGCTGGATTTGTAGGCAACTAGGAACTTTTCTAATGCTATACATTTAGGAAGGCTTTGAAGAGAAAGCAATCAATCCTTTCTCTGTCCAACCTTGAAGTGTTTCTCATATTAAATGCCCAAGTCATGACCCCTTTAGCAAGAGTTCAAAGGGCCCAACCAAAGATAAAATTTACATTAAATAAAACAGCACATTTCCCCCTTTGTATTGTAGAGCTTAAAATGAAAAATAACCACATTCCAATGCTCTAGCAAACAATGCTGGGCTTTAAAGGACAGTGCAGGAGTGGCTAATATAGGATAGCCCTTTACCTTTTTTTTTCTTAAATATTTTAAAAATTTTTAGTTACAGTTGGACACAATACCTTTATTTTATTTATCCATACCTTTTCTTTTTACCTTGGTGGATTGAATTTACATCATAAAATAATATCTAAGTGCTCAGGTTATTAGGAAATCAGAAATGGCCAAAATACATCTAGATAATCTCTGCTACAAATAGTCATTTAAGGAGGAAGCTGTGGTGTAGTGAAAAAAATTCTCTGGATAAATTAGCTTTCTTGGTTGCTCAGTTTCCTTATGTAGAAAATGGGGATAGTAAATCCCAAATACCTCACAAGAGGCTGGATGCAGTAGTATGCACCTAATCCCAGCTACTTGGAAGACTGAGGCAGGAGAATTGCAAGTTTGAGGCCAGCTTCAGCAATTTAGCAAGACCCTATCTCAAAATAAAAATCTGAAATGTCTTAGGATGTATCTCAGTGAAATAGAGCCCCTGGGCTCAATCCCCAGTATCCCAAAACAAAGCACTCAAACATCTCACAAGGTTGTCATGAGTACATAAAAAATATAGAAAAGTACTTTTTTTTTGGGGGGGTAATATGGATTGAACCTAGGGGCACTCCTTCATTGAGCTACATCCCTAGACATTTTTAATTAAATTTGAGACAGGGTCTTGCTAAGTTGCTGAGGCTGGCTTCAAAATTACAATCCTTAGTCTGAGACTGTAGCTCAGTGGCAGAGCACTTGTCTTGCATGTGTGAGGCACTGGGTTTGATCCTCCACACCGCATAAAAATAAACTAACTAACTAACTAAATAAATAAATAAAAGCATTCTGTCCATCTAAAACTACAAAAAAATAAATTAAAAAAAAATTGTGGGCTGGGGTTATAGTTCAATGGCATAGTGCTTGCCGTGCGCATGTGAGGCACTGGGTTTGATCCTCAGCACTACATAAAACTAAATAAATAAAGACATTGTGTCCATGTATAACTAAAAAAATATTTTAAAAAAAATTGCAATCAGGGGCTGGGGTTGTGGCTCAGTGGCAGAGGGCTTGCCTAGCATGCACAAGACACCAGGTTGGATCCTTAGCACCACATAAACGTAAGATATTGTGTCTACCTAAAACTTAAAAAAAAAAAATTGCAATCCTTCTGCTTCCGTCTCCCAAATTGCTAGAATTACAGTATGCAACACTGAACCCAGTTATATTACTGGTACTTTCTGAAATACTTCCCTACGCACGTCAATTTAACAAAACAAATAAAAAGGTAAAATTTTAAAAACTGCTGTATTCAAAATTAATAACAAAATTAAGGGTAAACAGGCTTTAAAACAAAAGCACATAAGCAAAAATAAATAATTTACACCACCCCACTAACCTGATTTTCATAGTAAAGCCCTTTCCAATTAAAGCACTGGCCACCAGCCTCTGTCAACTTTTTTTTTTTTTTGGTACCAGGAAGTGAACCCAGGGGCACTTAACCACTGAGCCACATTCCCAGCCTGCCCCCTACCTTTAAAAAAATTTTTTTGGTAGTTGTAGATTTATACCTTTTTCTTTCTTTCTTTATCTCTATATGGTGCTGAAGATTGAACCCAGGGCCTCACACATGCTAGGCAAGCGCTCTACCACTGAGCTACAACTCCAGCACCCCCCAGCCCTTTTTATATTTTATTTATAGACAGGGTCTCACTAAATTGTTGAGGCTGGCTTTGAACTCTGATCCTCCTATCTCAGTGTCCTAAACTGTTGGGATTACAGGCATGTGCCATGGAACCTGGCTTCTGGTGAAACTTTTGACAATTCATTATTTAAAAAACAAAAACAAAAACACTTAGTTGGTAGAGTGCTTGCCTTGCATGTACAAGGCCCTGGATTCGATTCCCAGCACCACAAAAACAACCCGCCCAAAACAGTAATAAATGAGTCAAAATACATTCTACTGTCATGTATAACTCATTAGAACACATTAAAAAAAAAGTAACAAAAGACTGAACACTTAGTAAAATCTTTAACAAAACCCAAATGCTGGATTTAATGTTTTAATTTTAAATAACCAAACTTTATAATTTTATACATAATCCAATGTAATGCTAATAAAATTAGCATTTAAGCTCCAAGGGTTGGTATGTAACAGGGATAGTCTTCAAACCATGAGATACCAATAAAAATGAACAAGTACATAGTAGAACAAAAACTGCAGACACTCTACTAACTCAGGGAAATATCTGAAGGCTTTACATCCTTTATTGACCATGATGGCTTTTGGAAATATGATTGTTTGACATGTAGAACCTTGACATTTTAGATACAGGCTTTATTTTTTATTTTTTTCACAGTAAGTTAATAATCCATTATAACACTCCGAAAGACTTCACTGGTCTTGCAAGTGGGTTCTAGGAGCTTGTGATCTGATAAAAGAGTAACATGAAAATTTACTGTATTGCCCTAATTTCATACTTCCTTGTACACAATGAATCACTTTGGGAATCTATTCCAAGGGTTATATACACAAAAGTGTCAAGAATAAAATGTTCTCCACTCTTGCATAAAAATGTGTACAGTGTATCAGGAATGGAAAACTGGTTTTCCAGGGCCCGGGGCTTCAGGCATTTCTGCTGCCAGAAGATGGGATTTCTGCTGCCACAAGATGAAAGGCTCCTTCTACTTTATTGCTTCATTGTTTTGAGGATTAGTCATCCAACCCTGGCGTTTCCCCTTGTTGGATCCTAGATGCTATTCTAATGGCTTCTTCCAAAGATGGCTGTTCTCCAAGCTGAAAAAGGAACATACACATCAAACACTAACAATCCAAAAGCCACAGCCAAGATAATGCTGAAAGAAATGTTATATGCCAGAAGTGAAATGTCTCTCTGTAATTTTAGGGCTTGTTAAAAATATTATTCTGACCTAATCATTTAGAGTACAAAACCAAATTTCTGTGGGGGAGAATAATGCAGTTTGTTTACTTGGGATTTTGATAAACTCTTTATTCATTTCAAGGGACAAAAGGTAATCATCTTGGCCAGTCTGGAGATGAACTTCTCAGACTGTTAGCTTCTCTACCCATAAATTAAAGAAAACTAACCTGGCATGTTGGCTGGCATTTTCTTGAGTGTGTTCCAACCCTTTATCAAGTAAACACATGGAAGAAAATTGTCCCCAAGGAAAGGATATCTGCACCTAACATCCAGGATTCTAGATTCTCTACTTGAATCCAGTGACTTTTCCCAGAGAGTAGCTCCTTGCAGGTCTTCTGACATTCCCCACTTTAAAAGGGGGGCAGTGCAGGGATTCTCAGAAGACTAATTTAGGATCTGTGTTCACCTCCAAGAGTAGCTCTTAAGAACTTCACAAAATACTGCCTAGTTAGACTTTTATTTTGATAGTAAAGATGGCTGGTTGGATACACACAGGGACACATGCCTGAGATATTTTTCTTGCTATAAATTTCTCAAGAATATGCAGAGGTAGTAAAGAACAAAATGTTAGTCTCTTTGAGATCACCTCAGATATAGAAATTTTCTTAAAGTAAGCCAGGTATCCAGATAAGTCTGTGTCCTGCTTTTGTGTGGGTCACATATAAAGCCCAGTGTCCTGGGTTGAGAGCTATGAGTAGCACTGCTGTCAGCTGAAAATAGCCTGTCCTTGTACTCACCTGAACTGCAATCTGGGTGCCATTGGATGTTGCCACTAAGGTCAGAGGTCTGGTTTCTGTGGTTACTAAATGATGGCTATGCTGCTGGTGCCCTATTTCTGATGAGGCTGTATGGAATGCTGCCAGGTCTTGAGCAACAATTGCAACCTTAAGTAAAACAAAGCACACATGAAGACTTAAAGTCTATGACTCAAATAGGCTAAAGTCCATTTAATGCAAGGGATTATCTTTAAATTCAAAAGGAAATACTCCAAAAAAAAAAAAAAAGGAAATACTCCTTTCTGATCATAGAATTATGAAGCCTATCACTGGAGGAGACCTTATACTATCCATTCTGGATTTTTTTTTTTTTTTGGTACCAAGGATTGAACTTAGATTTAATCACTGAACAACATCCCAGCCCCATTTTGTATTTTGTTAGAGACAGGATCTCACTGAGTTGCTTAGCACCTTGCTTTTGCTGAGTCTGGCTTTGAACTCAATCCTCCTGTCTCAGCCTCCTGAGCCGCTGGGATTACTGGCGTGTACTGCCAGGCCTGGCTTGGACTCCTCTCTTGTATTTGAGGAAGTTAAGGCTCAGAGAGAAGGGATTTGTTTACGTTTATGAAGTGAACCATTGGCAAAATAGAGTAGAGGACACTGGAGAAGTAGATCTGCTGTGCCAGGGATATGTGGTTGTACTTAGGATCTATTACCTGGAAACAGCTGCTTGGAAAATTATATTGGTAGACTACATTACAAACGTTATTTATTTCTGAGTGTGGATCAGTGGTAGATAATAGACTATTTTCTCCTGTTTACCTGTTTCATTTAAAATTAAATTTCCATTTTTAAAAATATTTATTTTTAGTTGTAGTTGGACACAATACCTTTATTTCACTTATTTAAATTTTTTATGTGGTGCTGAGGATCAAACCCAGGGTCTCCTCATGTTCGAGGCAAGTGCTCTACCGCTGAGCCAAACCCCAGCCCCTAAATTTCCATTTAACTAGGAAAACTGGAAGAACCAATAGTATTACTGATGAACAACATCACTTCTTATACTCAAATTTCTGTTGTGTAGATTGACCCAAGGGACACTTTGCCACTAAGCCACATCCCCCGCTCTTTTTATTTTTTAAGACAAGGTCTCTCTAAGTTGTTTAGGGCATCACAAGGTTGCTGAGGCTGGTTATGAATTGTTATCCTCCTGCCTAAACTACCTGAATCACTGGGATTTCGGGTGTCTGCCATTGAACCCATTTTAAATTTCCAATCTAAATTTCCCATTTTAGATTCCACAGAACCTTTTGATATTCCTCCTGAAGCCTCTGGCCAAATATGTTAACAGTGCTTGTGTAACTCTTACACCACAAATGTATTAGCTTTTCTCTTTTTATTTTGAGACAGGGTTGATGTAAATGACCGAGGCTGACCTTGAACTTGTGAAGATCCTCCTGCCTCAGCTTCCTGAATAGCTGGAATTACAGACTTGCTCACAGAACCTGGCATAAATACAACTTCTTTTTAAATTTTATTTATTTGGTGCTGGAGATTGAACCCAAGGGTGCTTTACCATTGAGCTACATCTCCAGTCCTATTTTAATTTCTGAGACAGGGTCTTGCTAAGTTGCTTAGGACCTAAGTTGCTGAGGCTAGCTTCAAACTTGAGATCCTTATGCACCACTCTGTCTTGTTAATGTAGCTTTTAAAAATGTATATGATATAGAAAATGATAAAAACTACTTTTGTTACATGATATTCTGAAATTTCTAGGCTGGTGTGTAGCTCATATCAGTAGAACATTTGATTAGCATGTACTGGGTACTGGGTTGATCCTCAGTACTGAAAAATAAATAAACAAATAAATAAGATTTCTTCAGCCAAATTCAGAGAAAGAAACAGATTAAAAATTTAAATTGTTCAACCACAAGACTGGGATCCTAGTTAGAATATACTCTGTTTGTATAAATATGTCAAAATATACTCTACAGGCATGTATATCTAAAAAAGAACAAATAAAATTTTTGAAAAGTAAAATTGCTGTTTTACTTGGCAATTAATCTACTAAAAATGGTACATTTTTAAGCAAATAGATATTTAGCTTTGATCAATTCCATTAATGTTCAAAAAATAGCAACAAACAAAAACTAGATTTCAATTCACCAATAGCATAGAGGCCTATACTGTTTGTTTGTTTTGTGAGGTGTACCTAGGGCCTTCTACATGTTAGGTAAGTGCTCTACCACTAAGCCAGCCCCTGGAGTAGTTTAAACTAGACTAAACCTCCTGAAGATAACAATTATAAACTCTTGATAAAAATAAAAAAAAAAATTTGAAGGCACTGAAGAACAATGAAAAATAAGAAAAATAACTAGACAGGATTCTCAAAAGAAGAAAATCACCTGGGTTACATCTATGCTTTAGATAGATTTTCCTTTGAAGATGCAAACTATCTTTTTGACATGGAGTAACTTAGGGTATAATGGAATCCAAGGCTTCCAGAATAGCTATACGTTGAGAGGGATATGTAAGAAGGGATTAACTAGAGAGAGGACCCTCAAATCTACTTTCCTCAAATCCTTAAGACCTATAAAACCACAAATATGTGCAGTTTGCAGTAAAGTCCCAATAAACAGTAGCTGACTCTAGGCCTAAGGGAAATGATTCTGAGTTTGTAAACTCAAATTGACATGAAGGAAAGCCACTGGAAATGATGAATTAGTTAATAAATACAAAGTATTATGTTCTCACCTATCTGTAACAAAATTTAGAAGATATGTTAATGCCAAAATACCATATAGGGCTGGGTGTGGTGGCACACACCTATAATCCCAGCGGCTCGGGAGGCTGAGACAGGAGGATCTAGGGTTGAAAGCCAGCCTCAGCAACAGCGAGGTGCTGAGCAACTCAGACCCTTTGTCTAAATAAAATACAAAATAGGGCTGGGGAAGTGGCTTAGTGGTTTCATGCCCCTGAGTTCAATCCCCGATACCCCCGCCAAAATAAAAATAAATAAATAAAAATCTGGGGCTGTAGCTCCGTGGTAGAGCACTTCCCTGTATGAGGCACTGGATTTGATTTTCAGCACTGCATATAAATAAATAAATAAAATAAAGGTCCATCAACAACTAAAATAATAATAATAATAAGACTAGCACTATTATCTATTTTTAAAAAACTTGAAATCATAATAAAATTCCTCCAAAAGGAAAAACTCTGGGCTCAGATGATGTCACTAATTCTATTGAACTTTTAAGGAAAAAAATAATGCTAACCTTACACAAACAGAAAATTGTACTGAAGAAATCACTTCCCAACTTGTTTTGTAAAGCTGGCACAGCTTTGATTTGGAAATAGATGAACTCATAGGGAAAAAAAAAATTATAAACATGAACATCAACATACAAATTTTCAAAAAATTTTAACAAAATATTAGCACAGTGTTATAGACATAAGCAAATTGTTATTATTTTCCATAGTAGCTGTGATTTTCTTTTCTATGTACTGGGAATTGTGCTTTTTGTGTATGTATGCTACTGGGAATTGGAACCCAGGACCTAGTACATGCTAAGCAACTGCTTTACCACTATGCTACATCCTCAGCCCTTTTTATTTTATTTTGAGACAGGATCTTACTAAGTTGCTAAGGCTGGCCTCAAACTTGCAATCCTCCTGCCTCAGCCTCCTAAATCACCGAGACTACAGGTATGTGGCACCACATCCAGCATGGCTGTGCCATTTTACATTCTTACTAGTGATACTTAAAGAGTTCCAATTTCTTTACATCTTTGCTAACATTTTTTTTTTGCGGGGGGTGGGGTTGTATAATAGACATCCTAATGGGTAATGTAAAAGTTCACTTTAATTTTGATTTGTAGTTCCCTAATGATTGATATTGAACATCTTTTTATGAATTTCTTGGCCTTTTTCTTTATGTCTACTTAAGTTCTTTGCTCATTTTTA